TACTCACTTAATGGCAGATAAAAGTGCTTCTTTGAAGAGTCTAATGTCTTTGGAATGCCTCCTAGGGACCCTGTCCTGTGGATTCCAGCAGCCAGCAGGTTATGAAAACGTGGATTCCAGCAGCCAGCAGGTTATGAAGAGACTTTGGAGCCTTTTGCTACTGTTCTGGGTGGTCAACTTGTTGGTGACGGTGCCTGGCTAAAAGTCCAGCAATAGCTGCATGCTGGTGAAGCATCTGGTCAGCTCCTTCTGGGAAACCCAGCAGCAGGAATCACTGAAGGCTCCGGAGCTACCCTTCGCCATTGCTCACCCCCTAGTGGGCAGCCTGCTGGATGACCAGGGCACTAGGCAATTCCTTGCCTTCTTCTTGCTCTCTGACTTCTCAAAACATATTTTCTATTTGAAGATTGTTCCACCTCCATGAAAGATCTATCCTTAATTTTTAGTAAGTCAAGGTTTCCCTTCTGAGTACTTATATTTATTAACCTCCCTCAAAGTAAGGTTAGGTTCATGGAAATACTTCATGTGTTTTGTCATGACATGAAGTATCCCTAAACCATTTCCATTTCCTCCAAAATTCACGGCAGTATGAGGCAAACACACAGAACATGGAGGGCAAGAGTTTTAGCTAAAATTTAATAGCCATTTACAAGCTTTATATTCTATTTCAGAATCTTGACTCAAATGGCACTTGAAATGCAGAGCTAAATCATGGGTTAAGAATATCATTTTGTAAGTGACCTTCACAGTCTGATTTAAAGGTGCTAAGGCCTTAAAGCAGTTGTTCCTCTCGGTTTGTTATTTCTGGCACAAACTTCTCTCTGCATGTTTTATGGGACCAGTTTTTAACATGTTTGCAAAAACTTCAGCTAATTTTTAATTTGTGAACTCACCATATCAATTCCAACTATCCATCTGGATTTGTTGATTGTCAAAATGACAGCCATACTCCTCCATACATAAAGACAAAATTTGATCTTTGTTCAGGAGAAAGCAAGGTAAGCTATTTCCAAATGAGAGCATTTAAACAGTCACATACTTCTCTTATCTCTAAATACAGTAGCTGGGGCCAGGGCAAATCTTCACAGTACAAAAGGAGAGGAGAGAAAAAGGCAGCTTCTCATGTTCTGAGGAATAACATTCAGTTTTGAATTAAGACTACAGTTCATTTACTTTTAGGATAATGCAACGATCTGTATCTTAATTTTTTTATATTATTAGATAATTGTTATAAACATGCAATAAAGCATCTAGTATACCTCACATAGCAAGTATGCAGCTGTGATTTTAGGGTATGTGATCTTCATTTTTAAAAAACAACTATTGCCTGTGAACTCAAAAAATATGTAAATTGGCAATATCCATCAGTTGCCCCATGAAACTCATAAAATCTTTCCTGTCCCTCTTGCAGATCTCAAAACAACATCACAGCAGGACTATAATCACCCACAACAGTCATATTTACAAGATGCAATTTACTGTAATGACACATATAAGAATTCCTTCATCACAAAGTTGTTTCCCTGAGACATTTGTGTCTTCCTATCAATATGAAAAACAGCATTCAAGGGTAAGCGTACTGTTAGCCGCACAGTTCAGCTGAAAAAATAAGCTACTCAAACCTGTCAATTCTCACTAAAGGATAACTAATACAATCTCAAAGATATAATATAAGTATACATGAAATTCACTTATCACATTTAGTTGTTGAACATGAAGAATTTTATATTTGGACAGAATTTCACCCAAGGAGTCAATGTCAATATATGGAAGCATTAAGCTTCCCTTATGTTGCAGCCCTTCATAGTTGTGTCTCCAGGGTGCCAAGAAGCTGTTTCAGATAGATTTCTTTGCATTGCCTCTCCAAGTGATTTCAGTGCTCATGAAAACCATCATAGAAAAAGTAAAAGGCAAATGATAAAAGTTCCTTAAAAAGAAGATTTTCCTGCCATCAGACAGAACCTAAAGTCATTTCTAAAGGAGCCCAGCATATTGACTGTGCATGATTCCTCACTACTTCCAAAAAAAGAGAGAAATAGCAATACATACATTTTATAATACATCAAATCAAAAAGAGGAATGTGGGTTCTATGCATATTAATACTGACAAAATTCAGTAGCCAATATTACAGTCTTCACACATCTTAAAAATGAGTGGTGATTAATGAATGATATTTCTGGAATTGTACATAACCAGTCCTATATTTGTTTTTGGACATCAAAATTCATAGTATTTAATGAGTCATAGATGATATCTATAGGAAGACCTTAACCTTTCATCAATTATACCATTTGAGTAAATTTCATAACAGTGTTTCTTAATTGTTCTGCTTTAGAATGCCGAACCATTCTGTGAACACTGCCTAATGCCACACAAATGTCCACAATAAACAAGCAGCATTTCTCTAGGTTTCTGAAATTCACCCACAAGCGGTGGGTCCAAGTGTCCATGTTGTTATTCCCTTGAAGTCTCCATTTAAAGACTACATGCCTGGAGGAAGACAAAGTTAACAACAAGCAAGCAAATATTCCTGCCGCAGTCGCTTCCCTGAGAATGAAACATTTTGCTTTTAAAAAGCAAATTAAGGTTTCAAGTACACATAATTCAGAAAGAGCTGGTGGATCGAAACATAATTAACAGAAACATTTGTGTTTCAAAAGTAATCTGAAAAGACTGATTCATATTCTATTCCATACAAATATTCAGTTACGGAAATTAGGTGCATTCACAGGGATTTCACTGCACAACAAATCATTAAAAATTATATAAGAGAAAGGGAAAAAATAAATAAATGCAATCAAGAAAAGATTAGGAGGTCTATTAAGTTCATGTAACAACTACTTTGCACTAATAGACAGTTTGGAGAATCAAAAAAAAAATGATCATTCTTGGTCATGAGGGGAGGTGCTCCATATTTGAGTTAGAAAGGCTTCTGAAAAGTTAACTTCACTGAGGGGACGTGACTCCATGTACAAAACGGTGCTTTTGCCACTGCCTGACTTTCTCTTAGAGACATGGGAAAATGTAGATTCAGTGATTGTGGTAGTTTAGGGAGAATTCACATACAGCATATCCATACTTTTAGCAAAACAATACATCTATCCACATAGAGTTGATAGGCCTGAAGCTGTTGTTGAAAAGGAGAGCTTCTGCTTAACTTTCACTGACTTCTAGCATAATAAATAACCATTCTTATCACCTAAAAGAGTTACAAGCAATGGCTGGGCACAGTGGCTCACACCTCTAATCCCAGCACTTTGGGAGGCCAAGGCGGGCAGATCACCTGAGGTCAGGAGTTTGAGACCAGCCTGGCCAACATGGTGAAACCCCATCTCTACTAAAAATATAAAAATTAGCTGGGTGTGGTAGCACACGCCTGTAATCCCAGCTACTCGGGAGGCTGAGACAGGAGAATTGCTTGAACCCAGGAGGCAGAGGTTGCAGTAAGCTAAGATCTCGCCATTGCACTCCAGCCTGGGTAACAGAGACTCTGTTTTAAAAAAAAAAAAAAAAAAAAAGTTACATGGAAAATAAGCCAACTATATGCACTTTAAAGCACCTTCAAATAAACCATTTCTCTTCTCTTATGGTATGCCTTTTGAATACTATTCTTTCCTAAATTCTGTTTACTATATATTACCATTTGGGAAAGAACTTGATTTCAAACTCTCACCCCACAATTAGAATCTGTGCCTCTCTAGGCCTGTGCTTCCTGCATGAAGAAATGTGCCCCTTCCATACATTGAAAGATATAAACAATTATAGTGCAGGTTCAAATTAACTTGGAACAGAAATAAAATTTTGCCTGGGTAAATCAATATCATAGCATTTTGATTTTGTTTATGAATTTTACATATGGATAATAGGTTTGAAAGCTGAAACTGAAACTTTCATTACTGTATTTGCATCTATTATCTTACCTTACAGTGTATCTGTAATTATTAATTTGGCTTAAAAAAAGATCCATTGACAATCTTCAAAGCATTAGTGCATGATTAAAGGGAATTTGGATATAATTTAAGTATTAAATATGCTAATTTAAAAAATAGTGTAGATTTTCATACTAGACAGAAAGAAGGTTATGGTCTTTCAAGCCCTGTAAATATATTGAACTAAAATCGATTCAATCATACTAAAAAAAAAATCAATGTAAACAAAGATGACAGAACTCCATAAAAAGTAAATAAAAAGTATATTTCAACTTTCAGATTACTAATTATGTAGAATAAATTGCTCTTTAGGTAGCTAGAAGTGTAGACAGATTTGGCAATGAGGGCATTTCTTGTCATTACACCAGAGTTTTAAGAAGCTGACTGAAGAGAAGGAGCTTAAGCCCAAGGAGAATCTAGTAGATTTTCATCATAATTCTCCCTGCATAAAGGATGATACACAGTTTGGCATTCTGATTTCTCTTTCGTTGAGCTGTCTGAATGAGGAAAAAAGGGATTTAACTTATTTTCATTTCAAATTCCCAAACAATAAAAATTCATAAACAATTTAGGTAATTGTAATAAGGAGGGATTTAGGATGAGGAATATAGCATTTTTTTTCATAGATTCTATGAACCCTTCAAAGTGCTCTAAAAATACTATAAGTTTGATGAGCAGCAAAGCATTAGTCTAATCAACACCTCTCTCCTTCCACCCTCACGTATGTACATATACACACACTGTACAGCAATACATTCTATTAGTCTAACTTAACTCTGACAGTTTGATAGTTGCCCCCAGAGGCTGTGCAAGGTTACAAATACTGTCTACACTGTATCACAGTTCAAGACCACCAGCACCCAAGTGGTTAAGCGAGAACCAACCCGTCCATTAAAAAAAAAAAAATCAATCACATATTTTGAATTTCTTTAAAGATACAAATGGAGGAGACAGTGAACCACCCCATATATTATTCTGAGTCCTGTAACTGTCTTTATCTAAAATATGTTTTGCATATGGAAGGCTAGATGCCTTTAAATATACTTTTAGCAATTCTGAGTATTAAATGTGCCTTTGAAAAATATGACAAGTTTTTTTTTTTAATGTTGAGGAAAATTCTGTAAGAGCGTTTTTTTTGTTGTTGTTTTTGGGTTTTCCCCCTACCCCTGCAAAGATGAATTTTGCAACATTTCCTCCCAGCAGCACACTGACAGCTCTGCCATCCTGTATATAATGCGTTCTGGCAATGAAGCCCTCAGGCACTGCAGCTGTCATATACTCCAGCACAGGACCCCCAGGAAGAAGTCCTGCGGCCCCACGGCATCTTGGGCTTTTCCACACCCAATCCTTGGGCATCTTGCAATAGTGGCTGAAGTCCAGAACTTGAACTTCACTGAGAAAACCAAGTCCACTCAAAATGCAGCATTTTCATCTTTTGGTTGGGTGATTCTTGGTCCCCCATGGATAGGAATGATACCTATAAGATTCAGAAGTGGAAAGAATTCTCTATAGTTACAAATATTTTAGTTCATACATTCAATTTCAAAAACTGGGGCTCAGGCATAAGAGTAAATAAATCACAGTAAATAAAAAGATGATTATTTTTGTTAGGATGGGAACATTTTTAGAAAGCTGCCTTTGCCTGAAGTCTGGTGCTAACAAGACCTTTCTCAAATTATGAACTCAATAGGAACTGATAGCACTTTGTAGTAGAAAAACAAATACTCATTCAAAGTAGTTTGTATATTTGAATACCTGTGTAGGTTAAAATAACTATTTTACACGCTTATCAGTCAATAGGGGAAATAAAGCAATTCAAGTTGATTCAATGTAGATTTCTTGTTATCTTGTATATTGTATGTTTCTCAACATATATTGTATATTTCTCAACATATATTTTATTAAAAATAAAATATTAATGTAATACTCAAGTATATTCATAAAGATGATATGCTTATCATCTGTTTATTCATAACTCGGATGATTTTATCCTCACAAACAACAATGATAAAATTAAGGCACATTAAGTTGTATCCTCCCGGTAAGCAAGCTAAAAGTTTATGTATGTGAAATGTAATTTATCATACTATCATGCAAACGATCAAAAATAGAGCCTGCTTTGGGAAGAGCTGTGAGGCTGGCCAAGGCTTTTTGACCTTCTTTAATTTTCTTTACATAGCTTTCTTGCTTCCAACTCAGTCCTAGCTTCCTTCTTCCCAGAAGCCCAGAAATGAGAAATACCCCACCTCAGTCAGGTCCTTGCTGCTATTTCTGTTCCAGTTACATTTTCTTTTCCTAATGCAGCATTTTATGCCTGAGACATTCTTCCTAACTGTCCAAGAAGTCTCCTCACGATGTAAACAGTTCCAGAAATCTTCCTCAAAGATAGCTAACAGATAAATAATGGCTTTATCCTGAGACTTTCAGTCTGAAAATGGCACCTCTCTATTCTCTTCCTTAACTAAATATAAACCCATAATTTAAGCCAAAAATGTACCTTCTCTTGAATTAATCCTTGAGTGAGTGGCTGGCTAGATGATGTGTGTACTGTTCAAACTGATAGTCTTAAATTGTAAACTTGAAGAACACAGGAATTTTGTATGTAACTTTCTTGGTATGGTGCTTAATTCATTTAAGAACAAATTTTGCAATGATGGTGATGACAATGATGACCACGTCAATGAGAACAACAGAGATCTGGGTAGACCATGGTAAAGGAGTGAAAAGAGTGTTCCCCATTTCCAGCCACATAGCTAAAACAGCTTTCCTCAATTGTGTTCATGTAAAGAGTGAGGAAAACACTGAGGTCAACAAACAAGGTCAACAGATTTCTTTCCTATAGTACATCTCAGAGTCTTTAATATAGTAATAGGTGTCAACATTCTCCAAAAATAAAAAATTGTACATTCTGAGTTTCCCAAATATATGTGGCCATGAAACTTTATTTTTCAGAGACTATGTATTGACATCTTTGATAATATTGCCCATTCTATGAAACCTATTGGGGAAAAAATGCAGTCTACTAATTCTTAATGCTGATTCTAAATACCTCTACATATGCTGTGACATTTAGCATCCTCCATCCTTTGACTGTGGAAAAAAGCATGACAGTGCCAGATAATCTGATTTGTACTTGGAGTTATGTGTTATTTACAGTTTATGGATTATTAGGTGCTTCTAATTTAAGCCTGACTTATTTCTTGAGAATTATTTTGGAACACTAGTAAACAAACAGTGGCTTTAGGCACAAACAAGGGTTATTTTTACAAGCAAACTCTGGAGAGTTTTCTCCCAAGATGTGTTCTATCATTGCTATTAGAAGTCAAAAGGGGGTTGGGTGCGGTAGATCATGCCTGTAACCCCAGCACTTTGGGAGGCCGAGGCAGCTGGATCACCTAAGGTCAGGAGTTCAAGATCAGCCTGACCAATATGGAGAAACCCTGTTTCTACTAAAAATACAAAAATTAGCCAGGTGTGGTGGTGGGCGCCTGTAATCTCAGCTACTTGAGAGGCTGAGTCAGGAAAATCGCTTGAACCCGGGAGGTGGAGTTTGTAGTGAGCCGAGATTACACCATTGCACTCCAGCCCAGCCTGAGCAACAGAGCAAGACTCCATCTCAGAAAGAAAGAAAGAGAGAAAAAGAGAAAGAGAGAAGAGAAAGAAAGGAAGGAAAAGAAAGAAAGAAAAGAAAGAAAGAAGGAAAGAAGGAGAGAAAGAGAGAAAGAGAGAAAGAAAGAAAGAAAGAAAGAGAGAAAGAAAGAAAGAAAGAAAGAAAGAAAGAAAGAAAGAAAGAAAGAAAGAAAGAAAGAAAGAAAGAAAGAAAGAAAGAAAAAGAAAGAAAGAAAGAAAAAAGAAAGAAAGAAAGAAAGAAAGAAAGAGAAAGAAAGAAAGAAGCCAAAAAGGGAACACCATGGATATATGGGTTTTTAAATGTGATTCATTTTAATTTAGAGCACTTTAAGGAAATTTAATGTAATACCCAACTTATATTGCTTAAACTTGACTGTTCCAAGGTATGAATATAATACCTTCATATTATATTCACAATTACAAATATAACTGAATAATCTTTTGCCTTTGTTATAAGGCATCCTATTATCTGTTTATGATAATAAGAAAATTTGCGTGTCTTTTAATAAAGCAGTGTGTCTTTGGAACTAGATCTGTGTAAAACCTAATGAAAGTAGAATTGAAAAAGAATAATGATAAATTCCAAAATAAGACTTAAATATTTTTTAATAAAGGGAAAATAAAAGTTCTTGTAAGAGCTTCCTTAAGTTCCTTGCACACTTAGTTTTCCTTGATATTTAAATGATTTTCTGCAAAAAATATGAAGACATTCCTTGCCCATGATCCCAAGTCTCTGAGGAAATGCAGATAAAATGACAAGAGTGATCTTTGCCCCAGTACAAGCCAAGGGCACCTGAAATAATAAGGCTCAGAGTTAAAAACAGAAACATTCATACTATCCATGAAAGGCTGTATATACTCAGCCCTTGAATAGAAAATGAAAATTCAAAAATCTCTCCAGGGATGGTGGGAGGAGAGTAGCTGTGGAGATGGTAATTTCTATTAATGATATATCTTTAGAAAATGAGAATTACTCATCATTCCTCTGCAGTTACAAATCACAACAGAACTACATTTATAAAGTTTAGTATTTTGAAACTCTGTTATCAAGTCAAAAGAGCAAGTAGTTGAATAATTTTACTTGTGATTCATAAGAAAAACTCCTTGAAATGGGAGAAGAAGAAGAAAAAGGAGAAGAAACACTGGAGACTGAACTAACATTAAAAAAGAATCTAATTTCTATATAATGACCTTAACAGGATGTTCTTGAGCCCTCTTTCTTTTCCCGTTGTTAGTAGTCATCTTTGGTAAAGACTTCTGGAATAATTTAAATAGTGGTCACAAAATAGCTTCAATAATTGAAAAGGAAGGCAGTTCCTCCAGGCATAAAAGACCACTTGAGAGAATATACTCCAAAGGACTATGCCTCCTAAAACAACTGTGGCCTATATAGAGTGTGTGTGTGGATACTTGCAATCAATTTGATGATTCAGCTATGAGTAGGCTCCTTAGGTAAGTCAAGAGACAACTCCTGTGTAGCAGACACTGTAAACGCCCATGCCCCTATCTATTCCACTTCAAAGCATGCTGGAGGATTTCTACCTGCCAATACATAAAGGAATTCAATAAAGAAATGCCTGCATTTCGATAAAGAAATACCTGCATTTCTTTTCCTGAGGATTTATCTGACCCCTGGAGTCTTCTTTGTTCATATTTACAAAAGGCCAGAAAAAAAAAAAAAAACAGTGAATTAACACTTCCTAGGGAAAGGCCTTAAACAATGACTGATGGAAATTGGAGGATAAATACCCCAGTTCTCTCACTCGTTTGTGTGGGATGGCCCTGGTACATGTTCTATACCAGCTCTTAGATTTCCCCAGTGGGATCAGGCTCCAATCACCCACAATACTAATTTGCTTGATTATAAAACTTTTCTTGAATAACTTCTTAGTAAACTAATTGTACTCAAATGGTTGTGCCAACACTATTTCCAAAAGTAAAATTATAAAAATTATGCAATTGATAAAATAGCCTATATTCTTAGAACACCAATAATAGGTATATTGGAAGATAACATACAACTCCAGTAAATGGAGGTTTCTTATTTAGGGTAAACAAATGGCAACATATAATAGCAAAGTCTCTTCTCCACAAATATATCTTAAATTCACAAGAAATGATTCTTTGTTCAGTTGCACTTTGTCCCTAGCCTTCTGTGCAAATAGTGGGTAGATTTAAGTGATAGGAGTGAGTTTTCAGCTCTTCTAGAATGAGACAAACAAATATTTAATTTTTAAAATACCAATCTGGAAATGCTTTTCCATTTACTTATGTCTATTTTTTTATGGGAATACATTTCTACTAAGCAATCACCCTTTTTGTTTCAACTGAGAATACAGCAACTGTGTCCACACAAAAGATGGGCACATAAATTCTACTTATAGATGTATCTAGTCTAAGCAAAGATATTTTATAAAAGTATTTAAAATAAAATTTGAAAAAAAAACTTCTGGAATAAAGGATAGAGAAATTAGATCTAACATCTGATGACCTCAATTCATCTTTCACAATTGAAAGTAAACTCTAGTTCTTACCTGTTAGATGTAAAATTGTAATAGCCACTTTCCTCAAGGACTTCTTCAATCACAGTCTAAATTTTTTTTAAAAAATCAGGTTAGTATTGAATTAAAAGCAACAAAATAAAATCATTCAGAGACACTGCAAAAACCTCACCTGCATCTGTTCATATGTTATTCCTTCCTCCAATTCAAAGCTGGTTGGTAAGCCTGAAAAAGATAAATTATGGAAAATCTGACATTTGGGTTCACATTTTCTTATTCTTTACTGGAAATTATGACTTCAACCACAGGGCAAACAGGTCAACTTCTTAATGATAAAGATGTAACAAGCGCATTCCAAAGCATCTGCCTTGGCTTTGAATATTCAAATGTTTTGCTTTTCTTTCTTTAATAACTGACTTCCTTGGGCATGGCCATCACAAAATGATACATGAAGATTAAGGGGCATTGCTCATAGTGTCCAATTAAGTTAGAGAAGTGTGTGTGTCTGTATGTGTTAAGGGCAATTGAGGGGTGATTCCAAATGCAAATTACCTGATGGGTGTTTTCTGATTAAGAAACTCTCCCTAATCCACAGGCCAAGAAGAATAAATATACATTAGAAAGAAAATGGATTCTTACAGGGAGGCAGATATAGATGTGAAAGACAGCAAAGATCTGATCCTTTCATATAACTGCCTAGAGGGAAAAAATATATTTATTGCCAGAAGACTTTTAAAATGTTTATTATTACTATTATTATTATTATCATCATCATCTTGTAAAGATAGGGTCTCACTATGTTGCCCAGGTTGGTCTTGAATTCCTGAGCTCAAGTCATCCTCTTGCCTACAGCTTTCCAATATCTGTATATTATAAGCATGTGCCACCATGGCGGGCCAGACTTTTTATTTTTTTACATTTAATTTAATTTTAAGTTCCAGGATACATGTACAGGATGTGCAGGTTTGTAATATAGGTAAACATGTGCCATGATGGTTTGCTGCACCTGTCAACTCATTAGCTAGGTATTAAGCCCAGCATGCATTAGCTATTTATCCTGATGCTTTCCCTCCGCTCACCCACTCCACCACTCCAACAGGCCCCAGTGTGTGTTGTTCCCCTCCCTGTGTCCATCTGTTTTCATTGTTCAGCTCCCATTTATAAATGAGGACATTTCGTGTTTGGTTTTCTGTTCCTATGTTAGTTTGCTGAGGATAATGGCTTCCAGCTCCATCCATGTCCCTGCAAAGACATGATCTCATTCCTCTTTATAGCTGCATACTATTCCATGGTGTATATATACCACATTTTCTTTATCCAGTCTATCATTGATGGGCATTTGGGTTGATTCCATGTCTTTACTATTGTGAATAGTACTGCAATGAACATATGTGTGCATGTATCTTTATAAGGGAATTATTTAATTTTCTTTGGGTATATACCCAGTAATGGGATTGCTGGGTCAAATGGTATTTCTGGTTCTAGGTCTTTGAGGAATCACCGCACTGTCTTCCACAATGGTTGAACTAATTTACATTCCTAGCAACAGTGTAAAAGCGTTCCTATTTCTCCACAGCCTCGCCAGCATCTGTTGTTTCTTGACATTTAAATAATTGCCATTCTGACTGGCACAAGATGGTTTCTCATTGTGGTTTTGATTTGCATTTCTCTAATGATCAGTGATGTTGAGCTTTCTATCATATGTTTGTTGGCCACATAAGGAGCTCCAGAGGCCCAGGAGCTCTCTGCCACGTCTTCGTTTGAGTAGTGTCTGTTCATGTCCTTTGCCTACTTTTTAATGGGGTTGATTTTTTCTTGTAAATTTGTTTAAGTTCCTTGCAGATTCTGGATATTAGACCTTTGTCAGATAGTTAGACTGCAAAAATTTTCTCTTTCTGTAGGTTGTCTGTAACCTCTAATGATAGTTTCTTTTGCTGTGCAGAAGTTCTTTAATTAGGTCCCATTTGTGAATTTTTGCTTTTGTTATAATTGCTTTTGACATTTTTGTCATGAAATCTTTGCCCATGCCTATGTTCTGAATGGTACTGCCTAGATTTTCTTCTAGGGTTTTTATAATTTGGGGTTTTACATTTAAATCTTTAATCCATCTTGAATTAATTTTTGTATAAGGTGTAAGGAAGGGGCCCAGTTTCAATTTTCTGCATGTGGCTAGCCAGTTCTCCCAGCATCATTTATTAAATAAGGAATCCTTTCCCTGTTGCTTGGTTTTGTCAGGTTTGTCAAAGATCAGAAGGTTCCAGATGGATGGTCCTATTTCTGAGTTCTCTATTCTGTTCCATTGGTCTATGTGTCTGTTTTTGCACCAGTTAATGCTGTTTTGGTTACTAAAGCCTTGTAGTATAGTTTGAAGTCAGGTAACATGATGCCTCCAGCTTTGTTCTTTTTGCTTAAGATTGTCTTGTTGTACAGACTTTATGATGGTTGATCAGAATTTGGTACACTAGCACCTTAACCCACTCCGATGCCACCCAAAGCCGTGTTGACCAGCTTTCACTCAAACCAATCAACACTGACATGTAGAGGCCCAGGAGCTCTCTGCCACTTCAAGTAGAGAAGACAGAATGGGTTTAGGGTCAAGAAGAGACATGAAAATATGAGTACTGGCAGCTCATTTTTAAAGGCATTCCCCACAGTACCAGCAGGCTCTGCTGTTTTTGCTTTTGCCCAGCCTGCTGTGACAAGGGCCACACCTAATCAGCTCTGGGGTGGGGCATCCAGCTGCCCTGGGAGGAGTTTGTCAACTCACCCTCAGGTTTTTGAGAGACTTTTATCAAAGTTCTTCATTTCATCAGAGTTTCTATGATGAGGAGAAGTTTGGCCTGCAGATAAACTTCTCTGTCTTGGAAATGCTTTTAAAGCAAATGACTTTAAACAACATTTTATCTTGGATTTCTCAGGGATTATTTTAAATAAAATTCTGCATACATAGGAGTTAGCTTTATCCCAGAAAACCAAAGGAAAGTTTGTCAATTAATTCATGAAGTAATTCATTCAGTCAACAACAAAAGCACAACAAAATTGAGCATTTTTTCCAAGTTAAAGAGATGGCAAGTCTTCATTTAACTGTAAAATCTTCACTTCTATCCACTCCTCCAAGTGGCATAGCTACCATTTATAAAGATAAAAAATTCTTTAGGAGTACTGAAACCTCAGAGGAGCTTGAAAGCTTCCTCTTAGAATTCAGATATGACAAGAAGAGTTCAATTATGCTGAGCCCCTACTAATAGACAGGCACTTTTTATTTTTACTCTAATCCTCACTATAACTTTATGATGCAAGTATTTATCCCCATTTTACAGGCAAGGAAACTGGGGTTCAGAGAGGTTAAATAATTGCCCATAGTCAGCTACTAAATGGTTTAGCCGAGATTTGAATCTAGGCACCCAGGTTTCCAGAATCTGTGCCTTTCAATCCCTATGCTATACTGCCTCCTTATGTGAATTTTATGCAAAAGAAAAAAAAAATTCAATGTGTCTAATGTGGATTCTTCAGGTGAGTTTCAAGGTTTCTCTATTTTGAATATTTAAACTCTTTATTTCTGCTCTTTATCTCCCTGCATGCTTTAGGGAATTTGATTTCCCATCATCAGATAAGCGAAAAGAAATAAAAGGAAATACAACTCACCCACACAGATTCTGCTGTTTGTTTATGATATTAATAAATGATCAAGGAAGCTGCCACAACTGGGTAAGATAAATCTCAGGGAATTTCTAGATTCCTACCATATGTGCCTTCCAACTATTGCCATAAATAATCAAAATAAGCTCCATTTAAAAAAAAAAATGAAGATAATCTTTTAGAAATAGCTGTTGATCCAAACAATATATTTCTTCATGAAAGCCAGATTACCCATGTTGATCAATATTACCTGTCGGGTCATTTGGGGACAGGCTGTTTCCACTGGATGAATGATGTAATAAATGGTAATCTACAGTGCAAAAATTGGGCTCAATTGGTTCTGGAGATCCCTGAGATAACTGAAATAGAAAAAGCAAAATCACATCTTAGTTTACACTCAGAAGGAAATGACAGGAGACCTCTGTGTGGGGTTTTTCATTTCCCTATGTCTCTGCACAGAAAATTTGTGGTCTGTGGTTTTCATTCCCTTGTAGATAGATAAATAAATAATCTTCTTCTTTCCAAGATAATTTATAAATTGGATGCACCAAAAAAACAGGGAAAGCAAGTTAGACAATTCTCTGGTCATATGAAAAAATATACTTTATGGCCTTATGAGAGCAAAAGAAAAATGAATATAAAAATACTGGCATGAACCTGGGACATCAAGATGTTATTTTTATCAGGCATAGGAGGAATAAACTCCAATTATTCAACAGAACAATATGTTTAGCCCAAATCACTATTTTTTTTCATGTATCTACTTTGAATAATTCCTTTTTGTTTGACCAAGGCAAGTAAGTTTCTTTTTTTCTTTTTTTCTACAACAGTGTCTCACTCTGTCAGCCAGGCTTCAGTGAAGTGGCAGGATCTCGGCTCACTGCAACCTCCGCCTCCATGCTCAAGTGATTCTCCTGCCTCAGCCTCCCAAGTAGCTGGGATTATAGGCACCCGCCACCATGCCCAGCTAATTTTTGTATTTTTTTTTTTAAGTAGGAACGGGGTTTCACCATGTTGGCCAGGCTGGTCTCAAACTCCTGACCTCAGGTGATCCACCTGCCTCGGCCTCCCAAACTGCTGGGATTACAGGCATGAGCCATCACATCTGGCCAAATAAGTTTCTTAATACATTTTTCTAAATTATTATTAATTAATTTTAATCTCCAAATATTAATTCCCAGCACTCTGAAGGAAAGAGTAATTTGCCAAATGACAATATTTATTAAAGTTTCATTCATTTAATGCCTTTCTATAAAGCTGAATTTTTCAAGTAGAATTTTAGACCATAAATGTTTTTCAACCTCCTTTCACCTTTAATTCCAATTATCACTTGGGCTGGCCAAGTTTTAGTGCCTAAGTTACTTCTAAAATATAAATTCATAATAATAAATCAGAAACAAATGGCATAATTTGTACTATGCAATAGTAGTTAGCTTGTATTCATATACTTTGTTTATGAGTTAAAATACATCATTGTTCAATCACTTGAGAAAGCTATTTGGCAATATACACTACAATTTAATAATATATGCCTATCCTATGACCCAGCAATCCCACTCTTAAGGATTTTTATGAGAGAAATAAGTGCACATGTCCCATCAAAAGACATGTATAAGAATATTCATGGCACCTTTTCTTCATAATAACTAAAACCTGGGAAAACCCCCACTGTCCATGGAGAAAAGAATGGATAGATATATATCATGGTGTGTTCATACAATGGAATTCTGCAAAGCAATAAAAAAAAGAACAAACTATGGATACTCATAGCAACATGGTTGAGTGTTGGACAAAAGAAGCCAGAAACAAAATACATAGTGTATGACTTCATTCTTATAAATTTTCATCATCAGTGATATATGGTTTGGCTGTGTCCTCACCCAGATCTCATCTTGAATTGTAACTCCCACAATTTCCATGTGTCATGGGAGGACCTGGTGAGAGGTAATTGAATCATGTGTGTGGGTCTTTCCTGTACTGTTCTTATGATAGTGAAAAAGTCTCACAAGATCTGATAACTTTAAAAACTGGAGTTTGCCTGCACAAGCTCTCTCTTTTTGCCTGCTGCCATCCGTGTAAGATGTGACTTGCTCCTCCTTGCCTTCTGCCATGATTGTGAGGCTTCCCCAGCCCCGTGGAAATGTAAGTTCAATTAAACCTCTTTCTTTTGTAAATTTCCCAGTCTTGGATATGTCTTTATCAGCAGCATGAAAATAGACTAATACAATCAGACAAAACTAACCAAGGGTAACAGATATCAGGTAATGATTACATTGTGGCAGGAGAAGTAATGTGGCCAGGAAAAGGCACAAAGGGGTCTTCTGCACAGCTAGAAATATTCTATATATTGATGTGGGTGGTGGTCATATGGGTGAAAATGTGTTCATAAAACTTCATGAGGCTGTATATGTACCTCGTTGTACTCATTATGCATTTATACCTTAAAATATTTTATATTGGTAATTAAAAATTAGTTTTTTTCCATCAATGTACTTTGGATATTGTAAATACAAATAATTTATGGGTCGCCCAGTCTCCATGTTGACAAACGCCTACTACCCTCTAAGGAAAAAAATATGTGATTATATCCATTCTTATCAGTGATAACTGATAACTGAGGTAATTGGATCATGGGGGTGGTTTCCCCAGTACTGTTCTCATGATAGTGTGTGAGATTTCATGAGATCTGATGGTTTTATAAGTGTCTCGCATTTCCCCTGCTTGCACTCATTGTCTCTCCCACCACCCAGTGAAGAAGTGCCCTCCACCATGATTGTAAGTTTCCTGAGGCCTTCCCAGCCATGTGGAACTGTAAGTCAAGTCTTTTTGCTTTATAAATTACCCAGTCTCGGGTATTTCTTCAAGCAGCCTGAGAACGGACTAATATATAACCCATTTGTAATATGACAAGATTGTAAGATTATAAATACGGTAATACAGGAGACCCTGATAATCACACACTTAATAATTTTCTCATCTGTGCTGTAAGGTATCATGGAGGTAGCCCTGAGCATTCTGTACATCTCATATCCCAGCTTGTAGGTGGTTACAACTAAGCTTTTTAATGTCTTGTGATGCTGAAAATGATTTCCTGGTATTACCTTTCAAATGACTTCAGATGGAACTTTTCGTATGGTTTAGCATAAGAGTAATTGGCTGCCTAAAATCTCATCCTAATTAGAAAAAGCTTACTTAACTTATTAAGTTTATACCTTGGAATTCTAAATATTTCACAGACAGAAAGATATTTAAAGCCTCAAAGAAAATTATGTGAATTATGACTTGGAGAGGTCAAGACTGCCATTTTAAGATGACAAGGACAAGTCCTTTTCATTGATCTCAAACCCCGAAGAGAGGAGTTTTTGAGATTTCCAGTGCTTATGTCACATTGGTAGTCTCACTGAGCTTAAGAACTGGACATTTTTAGAGATATTGGCACACAGATGAAGGCAAGGACTAAAATTCATTTTGTGATGAATCCCAGATACACTGACTTTCCATTCTAGGAACTTCCCAGAACTACTTTTTGCAGTTTCGTTTCTAGATATACACATTGTTTTGGCAAACAATTTTTTGCCCCCTAGTATATGTTGGACAGCATGGTTTATGATCTGAGCAGGATGCAGAAATGATCTGGTTTCTGTGAGGCTTGTAATCTGACTAGGAAAACAGGATAATAATGTAAAAAAATAGGGTGATATCATAAATCATGAACTGTGAAATGAAATGATGATTTGTAAACTTACAAAAAGAAGGGTCCTTCATGAAGACTAGCATGGTTTTTTAAAGAGGTTCTGTAGAAGAAACACTGGAGCTGATCTTTGAAGGATAAATTTAGGTAAATCATAGCAATCAAAGTGTATGTTCCAGGTAGAGGGAACTTGCAGGTAAAGGTTGGGCATTGCATATTAATGGAAAAGTGATGAAAGGGAGATGACATGATTCCATGTTATAGAGATATGGGCATTCATGATGAAATGAGGAAAACAAGTTCCATTCATTAATTTAGTATTTTTAACCAATTATTTTGTGCCAAGCAGAGATCCAAACAATGAAAAAACCCATTAATGGCCAAAGATTATACTCTTGGAGTTCGCTAACTACTTAGGGAGAAATATGTCTGTGAAATATCCACCTAGATATATGTAAAATTACAACGGTTCTAAATGCATTGAAAGATAGGTTTGTGGTTTTAGGAGGTAGCAGATAGATTTGACTTAGTCAGCAAAGGCTTCCATGAAAAAGTGACATTTATGCCAAGAGCTGTAAGAATGAGTAGATGGGGTGAGAAGAACATTACAGGCAGAGCAAAAAGCACGTACAAGACTATGAAGAAAGCAGCATGCTAGATAAACACATTTTAGGAAGGGCCTGGTGGCTGATGTGGAGACAGCAAGGGGCAACAGTGATACGAGATGAGGGTGAACAGAAGGGCAGGAGTTGGATCTGATTTTGGAATTTTATACTGAGTTCCTTAAAGGATTTTCTGTGTTGTGTGTGTGTGTACAAGTGTGACATGATCTGTTTTGAAAGGTTCATCCTGGATGTAATACACAAAACAGTTTAAATGGGGTTGGGAACATCAGGGTGAATGCAGGCAGACTATAAAGAGGCTCCTACAAATAAGGGGGGCCTGGAAAGTGGGATCCCAGAGTTTAGATGATGAGACAGACAACAAGAATCTACTAAGGTTTTTGAGTATGCTAATAAAAAAATGCTTAATAACTATTAGTCTGGCAATAGTTAGACTAATAGTTATTGTTGGAGAACAAGAAAATCAGCAAAGAAGCTATGACACTAATGCAAGAGAGAAGGGCTCAGAGCCTAGACTAGATGGCAACCAAAGGAAGGAATGGATATGGAAGACTGAATATTCTCATTTAACAACAATAGTAGCACTAATTGACATGTATTGAATACTTACAACATTCTAGACACATTAGATATTCCATTTGATTCTTACAACTACCCTCTAAGGCAAGTATTACCCCCTTTTACAAACAAGGAAATGGAGAAGGAAAGTAATTTACACAAGAAACATAGCTATTAAGTGGCAGAACCAGGGCCAGAAGCTAGGGCTGTCTTACATCAAAGGTCAGAACCTTAGAGACTACAGACTACTCAGGCATCAATGACTTAGGGGGTAAGAGAAATGAAGCAGAGCAGGTGAAGAAGCATGAGGTTTAAAGAATGAGCTGAAGGAAAACTGATGCTTTCAAGGAAACTGACCGTGGACACAGGAAGGGAGAAGGTGGTGAGTCTAATTCCAGACATGCCAGATGGCAAAGTAAATGTTCACCCAGCAGGTAGAAATATGGAGGATACAGCAGAACATCTTTAAGCAGAGTCCCCAGTGGCT